GTCTCATGAGAAGGACATTAATCACTCTTCAAGGCTCCACCTCCGAATACTGAATGAGAACCAAATTTAAACGTGTGAGTTTGAAATCCAAATCGTGGCATACAGAAATAAAAGATGCAACCTTGTGTGCAAATTTGTGTACTAACACCTTTTAGAAAGGCTGGTTCTTTAATTCTTTAACTGTCTTATGAACTTTAGGGCGGTATAATTTTTCTTGTATATGTAATGGTTGAGAGAACTGTGAGACAGAACTATAGTATGGATCTTAGTATGGACTTCCTTGACTCTATAGACCGGCCAATAAAAAGTGTGGAAAATGGTCCCGCAACATTCAGTATTACTGATAAATATAAGCAAAATCAGTGATAAAATTTGATGCCACAATTATAGAAAGAAATCTGTTGTAAAAAATACAGCTTTTGAGTATGGCAATCATTCAGTATAAAAAATGTTACAAAGAAAGGAACAGACCTAGAAAGAGGGATGTACAGAAGGGACACAGAGATGTGTTAATGTTGTTACAGACTTCATTTAATAAAGAAAAAAAAAGTTTAGTTGGCGGAGTGGCTCAAATGGTAGAGCGCCTGCCTAGCAAGCTCAAGGCCCTGAGTTCAAGCCTCAGTACCACCAAAAAAAAAAAAAAAAAAAAAAAAAAGGGAAAAGAAGTTTAGCATTATGGAATATTTAAAATTTTATTTAAGGGTGGCTGAAATAATTCAGATTTTAGAGCTACATAGACCTTGTTTGTATCTCAGGTTTATCTTTTGACTATGGCTAAGTTTCTTAACCCCTCTGAGTCTTTGTTTAGTCATCTGGAAAACAGATGGAACTTATAAACACTGCTGTTTATCTTACATTATTTAAAATGGCAACATATACCCTATGTACACAAAACTTACTTTTTCTTCTCCTAATAAATTATCACAATACTGAGAATAACCACTATACTTTACCTTCCCAACAGAGCTACTATATATCCAGAATTTCTTACAAACGCCTATGTTTTGTTTTTTCCATTTTTTAAGGTCTCAAGTGACATCACCTAGTTAAAAAGATTTCATTCTGTTTCACACGTGTATGTCAACAGCTGTGGGGAGGTATAAAAAAGTGATCTGAATTCAGATGCATCAGTAATGGCCAACACCTAAAGCACTCTCCAATAATTCTTAGAAGTCAAGGGGGTCTTCAGAAAAAGGCTGTTAAGTAGTCTGAAACAATGGAGGATAATATGAAAGAGTGACAGAGAGACTTACCAGAGTCCCAGATTGATAATAAGGAAAATAGCAGACCTGTCCAAACAGTAATTCACATACTGTTCTCATATAAACTAACCTTAATAATGTGCATAAGGGATAATGGTACAGGTTCAAACCCTGGGCCTAAACTTTTTGTGAAATTACTTATCCTTACTTTTTCAACTATAAACATGGATAATGATAGTTACTATCACACAAGACTCTAATGAACATTCAATGATCTTATGAAGAGGGCTCAGTTAAGAGAAGTGCCAGGATATAGTAAGTGCTCGATTTATGTGCCATTTGGCTTCTAGGACACCCTTTCTTGGTTCTCTTTCTACTTCTCTCATGATTCACTAGTTGCTTTCTCTTCTCACACTGATCCCTAACTGGTGGATAACCCCAAATCTCAGCCAGTTTCTCTACAAATAGCCATCCTTTTAATTTTTTTCTGATCCAGACCCATGGGTCTAACTATCATCTGAGCTTATTGGACTTATCCTTTAATAAGAGAACATAAAATTTATGTACACACACCACAGTTTACATTCACTATGCAACAATGTAGTCTATACACTTTGAAAGAAGGAAAACACGTGAAGGGAGCCCCACTTTCACACTGGATTTTACCTGATGACATTTTCTAAGACATGGCACAGGGAAATAAGGCCAAAGCAGAAAGTGGTAGTCATATTAAATGGAGAAAATAAAGATCAGAGTTTGGGGCTGCTGAGGTGTCAGAATTGTGGAGAAGTCGTTTGAATTTCTGGCTGAATCCTAAACTGTATACATTTAGTGGAAAACTCCAGGCTGGAAGAGAAGAGCTACGAAGAGACTTCAGAGGTCACACAGTTTGAGTTCAGCTGGAGTAGAGATACCCTTGATGGTCACCCTTGTCATCAAGACCACAGGGGGAAAATGCCTAAGATTATGAACGGCACTTTAGGAATAAGAGATAGGAATGAGGAACTCAAGGAATCACAGTGAAAATGAAGTGGGCCACCTCTAACAAAGCCTAAATCTAAGTCTTAACAGAATTGAGATGATTTGCACAATTTGAATTTTAGAGGATGTTTCAATAATGCATCATTCAATGATTTCTGAAATAAAACTAAAATCACTAGATGTACCAAGCAAGGGAAAGGATGCAATAATCAAGAGATAAAACAGTCAAAAGAGCAACCACATTTAGGCAGAAAGAGGCTGGCAGAAGAGTGCTTTCTTTTTGTTGGTGAGTTAATTTTTTCCCAGAATCTCTGTAAAACCTCCCTGGCTACCAATAGTTGCAAAAGGGACTGTGAAGGAGATAATGTGACCACGGCACTATGTTCTGGTAGATAAAAAGAAATGGCTAGGCACAAAAGTAGTTTTTGGCCAAATGCAACTAATACTTTGTTGTAACTGATGATAAGAATCACTAAGGACTTAGGGGGAAAAATCCTGGGCTATTTAATCCACAGCAAATAAATCACAATATCCCAGAAGTAAGAATTTTTTTTTTCTTTTGGTGCTGGGGATCAAACTCAAGGCCTTGCATTTGCCAGGTAAGCCCTCTTCCACTGAGCTAAATCCCCAACCAAGAATTTTTTTTTAAAAGGTCATCATATGTTTATGATCAGAGTCTTGGAAATTCTGAAAGAAAGTCCTGCAATTTTAGAATATTTTATATAGTCTAGATAATCTGCTAAATATCAAGATGGGATAAGCTAATTCACTAAAGTGATTCATCACATGAAAATAAAACAAGGCTTCCTTTCATTTTATGTGCTGACAGTCAAAAAACAGTAGTTTTTAAGATTAGGAAAGATATTTCTAAAGAAATATAAAGGAACTAAATATAACTAAGTCTGCTTAAAAAAACAAAACAAAGCAAGTTTTCTGTAGTACTAAAGAATGAAATGCAGCTATTGATGTAGTCACTAGTGATGCTCTTTGTTACATTTCTTCCCAGGTAAAGTCATCTGAGGAATTACAATGCCTTCACCTAGGAAACAATTTATGCTAGAAGTATCTAATAATTTAGTTGGCTCTTTAACTACAAAAGTTAAATGAATAAAATTGTGTACAGAAAGTGAAGAAAATAAACGAGAAGACGACAGTCAATGGGCGAGAAGCTTTCTGTGAGACCTTTGGTTTAGAATACTGAGACTTCCCCATCAGGAACATGATACCTCTTCCCCATTCATTTTCTTTATTGTGATAAAATTTCATATTTTTTTTGGTGGCACTAGGGTTTGAACTTAGGGCCTTGCACTTGCTAGGCAGGTGCTCCTAGCACTGAGTCATGCCACCAGCCCTGCTTTATATTGGGTTTTTCTGAGATAGGGTCTCCCAAACTATTTGCCTCAGGCTGTCTTGAAGGCAGTGATCCTCCTGATCTCTGCCTCCTGAGAGCTGGGATTATAGGTATCAGCCACCGGTGCCCAGCAAATTTTCTATTTTTGTTGGCAGAGTGTCTGAGAACTTTTCTATTTACTCCTAGATAACTGCTTCTGATGTTACTGAAATGTTCTGTCTACTTTTTAAACTAAAATATTTTAAAGTAAATTGATAGTGCATCCTTAAATATTTCAGTGTGTATTTCTAAAATAACATTATTACACTTAACAAAAGCTATTCCCTAGCATCATCTATTACCAAAAACCAAATAGTCAATAAACATAAAAAGGGGATCGCTAATAACTAGAAAAATATAAATTAATAAGATAAAGAGATACTGTTGTACACACATAAAATTGGTGAAAATTTAAAATTCCAATACTAATAATAATAAGTATTACTTATTAGAGAGGACACTGAGCTCTGAAACACTATCACATTGTTATGGGGAAAGGGTTAACAGTACTTCTGAAAAAGGTTTCATACTATACAGTAAAACTGAAGACAGATGCATGGACCTGATTCCTTCTCTCAGTGACATATTTTAACATTCCTAACAGAAATGCAAACATATGCCAAGAGACTCACATACAATTGCTCACACCAGTATTATTTGCAATGGGAAAAATTCAAAATAATTCTAATGTATTCAACATTAGAAAGGACTAACAAAGTATGCTATGAAAAAATATAGAATAATGCACAATAATGCAAAAATGTACAAGTTACAGCTTTTCTACCATGAGGATTTCCAAAATTTTATAACACAAAAAATAAAACAGACGTAAAATAATATGCATAGTACAAGTCTGTTCAAAACCAATGCATAACGCTTACTTTCAAAGTGTTCAGCAAATGCACACGTTTATATACATATATATTCATCTACTGAGATACCAAGAAAACATGGTCAAATCTAACAACTCGGAATCTAAGTGAAGAGTATCCAAAGGCTCACTATACTACTTTGCTACTTTTCTGCAGGTTTCAGATTTTTCAAAACAATTCAATAAACAAACAAAACTAATTTATGTTTTTGAGATGTACAAATATAAATACCAAAATAATAAAGAAAATAACTATCAAAATTCAGGACAGTGCAGACTCTGGAAAGACGGGTGAGCTTGTGGGGAGAGAAAGCTCCATGGGGAGCTTTTGATACTGCAGTTTCTTTACCCAGAGGTAAATGTGTGAACCTTCCTTTATAATTATTTTATATTTATATATTTATTCTGCATTCTGGATTTTTCCTGGGTGGGTATTTCACAAGAGGAAATGGTGTGATGAGGTATAAAAAATACTTTCAAAGAAAAATCACTATATATGCTTACCAAATATTATTATAAAAATAAACTGTTTTTGCTTTGGAATAAGTTTGGGGGCTTTTGCTAAATAGGCCATTTATTTGAAATTAAGCTATCAAAAGTGCTTACCATGGATTGATTTTTAAGACTAGCTATCATCTTATTCATACACGAGATAGTCTGGAACTATCTAAATCTAAAGCTTGTTTAGTCTGGTATTAGGTAGTATATTATTCTAAATAACTCCCATGAATTGTACTATGATATCCCAACATGCATTTTAGCATAAATTAAAAATTTATTGTAAGAAAAATCTGGATGAAAGTTTCATAATTATTCAAATATTATATACAATTTATACTGTAGCTTTTTCTATTTCCTCATTAGGCTTTCACAGTATTTTTGGTGAAAACCCTCAAAAGCAAAAGTTGACCAAAATTTGACCATCTCAAATTGACTTTGAATACTTGTATTAATCCATTTCACTGTTATCATCTGAATCATTATCAAAATCTAAGTGATCATCACTTTCTTCATTTCTTCTGCAGCTTTTTTTATTGTTGGAACTTTGATTATTTTCAGCATTTTCTGTCTTTTCTGTTTCTTTATTAAACCTAAAGATGGAAGAAAAAGTTTCAAATTACTTCCCAGGATTCCATTACTTAACCACATAGGTTAGAAAGGCCTTTACCACTGTGCTTCTTAACGGGAGCTTAATAAAGTAAGCAGAGAAAAGGGTGCTTGAAGACTAACTCCAGTCAAGATCCTTCACATTGCAATACTACTTCCACTGAAGTGGGCTCAAAGAAATTAACAAAGGCGTTAAGGGAAAACTGTTACATACTGAGCACTTCGTTGTAATGAACATGAAGCTCATCGTTAAACAGTTGTTCTTAAAAATATTAAGTGTCACTTTTATTGTAATAATAGAGAAATTTAACAAAATTATGACTTTTCATGTTAGGTAGAAAATGTCTACATTAATGTGATATACTACAACTTCAGAAAAAGAGTTACTGAATGTTTCATTAAAAAGAAATCTCATTGCCAGGTGCAGGTGGCTCACACCTATAATCCTGACAGAGATCAGGAGGATTGCAATTCAAGGCCAGCCTGGTCAAATAGGTTGTGGAACCCTATCTCAAAAATATCCAGCAGGGCTGGCAGAGTGGCTCAAGTGGTAGAGCACCTGCCTAGCAAGCATGAAGCCCTGAGTTCAAACTCCAGAACAGCCCCTCTCCCCCTAAAAAAACTCACATATCAATTACTAACGGTAAGACTCAGATGTAAAAGGAAATACTCACGGAATAACAATGTCTTCTTTTTTCCCACACTTTCCACAAACTTCAAGTTCATAGGCACATGGTCTACACATTATGTGGTAAGCATCCTTCACCGTCTTTTGTAAACATTTAACACTAAAAGTGGAAGAAAAAATAAAATATTGATTTTTATTAACTAAGATTTACTTGACAAAATAAGGGTACCTAGCTAAAAGGTGAAAAGCCTGAAGATCAAAATTTCTGGATTTCAATCTTAGATATTTATCTTATGTTGCTGTAAGTTAATTATACAACAATTTACAGCTGCAAAATAATCGCAAGATGTTTATCTGCTTTCTTAAAGCCTTTTAAGTGTCATTAAAATATCAAAAAAGATAGATATATAAAAATCAATTGCATTGCTGTACTTTACGAACAAACAATCAAAAAAAGATGAAAATATTTAACAAAAGTAGTTTAAGGCCAATACACTGAACATGACTATAAAACATCACTGAAATAAACTTAAGACCTTACATGGAACAATAACCCATGTTTACAGATTGGACTACTTAATATTGGTAAGATGGAAGTAATTGCCAAACTAATCTACAGATTCAATGCAGTCTCTAGTAAAATTCTTACTGGCAGGGCCAGGTGTTATGGCACATGCCTGTAGACCCAGCTATTTGCGGGGCTGAGGTGGGAAGATCATTTGAGCCTAGGAGTTCAAGTCCAACCTAAAAGAACTCTGGATGCTTTATTTATTTTTTGTAGAATTTGGCAAGACAATCCTATAGCACGTATAGTTTTATTGTGTTTCACTTTACAGATATTATGTTTTTTTTTTTTTTTTTTTTTAACAAGTTGAATGTTACTAGCAACCCTGGGTCAAGTAAACCTGTTGGTGCCTTTTTGTTTTGTTTTGTTTTGTTTTCCCAATAGCATGTGCTCACTTTGTGTCTCGATATTGCATTTTGGTAATTCTTGTAATATTTCAAACTTTTTCATTATTATTATTACATCTGTGTGGTAATCTATGATTAGTGATCTATTTTGAGCCACCAAGAACTGTGCCCATATAAAACAGGAAACTTAATTGTAAGTGTAGTGTATTCTAACTGTTCCACTGACCAGCCACCCTCTATCTCTCTCCCCCGCCTTAGCCTTCTTTATTCCCTGAAACACCACAATATTGAAATTAGGCTAATTAATAACCCTACAATGGTGCTGAAGTGTTTGAGTGAAAGGAAGACATGGATCTCTTATTTTAAATCAAAACCTAGAAATGATTGTGCTCAGTGAGGAAAGCATGCTGAGAGCTAAGAAGGTCAAAAGCTAGGCTTCTTACTCCAGTTAGCCACACTGTGAATGCAAAGGAAAAGTTCTTGAAAGAAATTAAAAGTGCTACTCCACTGAACACATGAGTTACAAGAAAGTGAACAGCCTTGTTGTCATTAAGGAGAAAGTTTTAGTGATCTGGACAAAAGATCAAACAAGCCATAACATTCCTTTAAGCCAAAACCTAATCTGGAACAAGATCCTAACATGTTTCAGTCCTATGAAGGGTGAGAGCAAAGAACAGTTTGGAGCTAGCAGAAGTTGGTTCATGAGGTTTAAGGAAGGAACTGTCTCTGTAACATAAAAGGGTACAGTGAAGCAGCAAGTCCTGTAATAGATCCAGCAAGTTATATAGGAGATCTAACTAAGATCATTGATGAAGATGGCTACGCCAAACAGATATCCAAAGCAGACAATATGGCCTTATATTGGAAGAAGCGACCATCAAGGACTTTCATAGCTACAGAGGAAAAGTCAATGCCTGGCTTCTAAGCTCAAAGAACAAATTGACTGTTAGAGACTAATATAGCTGGTGACTTTAAGTTGAAGTCAATGTTCATTTACTATTCTGAAAAATTAAGGGCCCTTAAGAATTATATTAAATTCACTATGTCTGTGTTCTAACAATGGAACAACAAAAGCCACAATGATAGCACATCTGTTTACAACATGGTGTACTGAATATTCAAGCCCATTATTGAGATGTACTGCTCAGAAAAAGATCCTTTAAAAATATTACTGCTCATTAACAATGCACTTGAAAGACAAGACAATACTATCAATCAAACAGATATGGAAAGAATAAGGAAATTTTGCTATCAAATTCATGCACATAAATCCCCAAACCCCATTAAAATGGACAAATTTTTCAAAAAAAAAAAAAAAACTCACAGAAGGAATAGTTAACCTAAATACTATTCTATTAGAAAACCTCAGTTATGTAGCAGTCCCAAAACATAAATCAGCCCCATGACATCTTAGGAATGCGGAAGCCCCTGCGACCTGGGAGAAGCAGAGGAACCAGCTTGGCCAGAGGTCCAGGAGGTCCAGAAGGCCCTGCGCGTGCCCAGAATGGACCTCTATTAACTGTTCTTTGGGTTGGGCAGAAGCTATATATATCCCCCACTCCAGCGCTGGGGACGGGGGAACCCAGTTTCTGGGAGCTATGCATCTCTCTGCTCAGCCTTTCTCTATCAGTAAAGTTTCTTTCCTGCCTGTAACTCTGGTGCTCCAGCCTCTTATTCTTGAGTGTTCTGAGAGCAAGAACCCTTTAGCACATCAGTGAATTCCCCTGTGACAGTTAGAATTTTAAATTTGGAACAAAGAAAACTCTAGATCCAAATGGCCTTGCCAGAGCATACTAACAAACATTTAAAGAAGTAATGCTAATTGTACATAAATCTTTCCAGAAAACACAACAGGAAGGAATACTTTCCAACTCAATTGATGAGGCCTTAATATCAAGACAAAAAGACAAGGAAACTACAGACCAGTATTTCTAATTAATACCAATTTAAAAATCTACAAAATGTTACCAAATCAAATCTAGCAATATATACAGGTTGGCCATGTGGTGAATACAAGGCTGATACAATGTTCAAAACCAATAAACGTAACTCATAAAGTGACAGTCTAGTAAGGACAAAACATAATGAATCCAGTAAATGCAGAAAAGACTTTGACAAAATTTCCGTCCATTTATGATAACTACTCTCATCAAATTATAGGTTGAAGAAAGGGAACACAGTCAACCTGATAAAATCATGTAAAGAACCCATATTCAATAATGAAAGATTGAATACCTTCCTCCTAAGAGGAGTCGGGAAAAACAAAAACAAAAAAACCTTAATAAAAACATGAGCCAAACACCTTGGCAGAAACTTCAACAAAATAAAGAAACAAAGGAGTGCAAGAAAAGATGCTTCAGCATTAGCAGCCCCAGAGAAATGCAAATTAAAATTACAATGACATACGGCTACTCATTTATGGTAAAACAGAATAAAACAACAAGAAGCAGAAACTTGCCAATCTTTACTCTGATGATGATATAGAGCATCCCACCACATATCCTTAACACACAACCCAGCAACCTCACTGCTAAACATGTGCTCAAGAGAAATGGGAATGATGTTCATACAAAATCCTAAAGCTAAAAGAAGCCATACTCGAAACTCTCCATACTGTGGTTCCTTATCTATGACATTCAGCGAAGGCAAAGTATTGGAAGGAAAAGAGATTAGTGCTTGCCAGGGGCTGGCAGTGGGTAGGAGTGACTATAAAGTGACATGAAGCAATATCTTGGGTAATGACAATGTTTTATATCTTGATTGTGATATTGGTCTTACAACCATATCCAGTTATTAAAACAAACTATATACTGCAAAGGGTGAATTTTACTGTACATAATTATCCTTCAAAGTCCCAACTGGGACAAATAAATTAAATTTAAACAAAAATTAAAATAAAAACCTCTTTGATACCTGATCTAAGTGAAAAGTTAAAATTTCTATATTAAATTATGTGAGCATGTTTGTGTTCTAGCATTCCAAAAAGCTTTACCAAACTAAGCTTTAACTTTTTTAAAGATTTTTGCTTTTTTAAGCTTTAATTTAAAAAAAAGGTTAAAAATTTTTATACCATTAGAATACACATGGAATAAAGTTCTAATAATTCAAATGGATTAGGACAAATTTCAAAACGCTTTTTGTCTTTAATCTCTTAAAGACTTAAAATAATGTTGAATAGAGACTCTTGGCTAGCATCTGAGGCCTCAAGGAAATCATCATATATTTTGTTTTCAAGAAATATTTTGTTTTATGCTAGAGACCCTTGGAGTAAACAAATCAGACAGTATTTAAATTGCTAATTTGGGGATAAAACTCTATTCCCAGAACTGTTAGTGTTAATACTTGTATGCAAAATGAGTTTAAAAGGGATAAGCTTGTTTTGGAGACTAGACTCCAAAGGTCCTGATTCTCTAGCCCATCTTCTCCCAGGACTAGTGACACCTTAAGAGTCAAACACCTGCATAGTTTATTAAAATGCAGATTCCTAGGCTCCATGTATTATTTACATAACCAGAATCTTGGGAATGATTCCCAAGAATCTGTTAAATTCTTTTAAGTAATTCTATGGTCATAACCATTGGAGAACTCTTGACCAACATCAAAATAATAATGCCTTCCACTAAGTGGAAAATTTTCAGTGTTCCCATTGCTGGTTGAGATTAATTCTGAGAGTGGAATAAATTCTACTGCTGAAAGCAATTATGTTCTTTTCAAATTTAAATTCCTTCTGAAAAATCAGGCTATGTTGGGATAGTAGCTCTAAATATAAATAGACCTATCTTTTAGCAAAGCAAGATACACACACACTTAATTCTTCCATTCTGTAAAGGTGACATTATGGTTGTGAAAATGTGAATGATAAAAATTTTTAGCACTTTATAACCTTCTACTTGGTCTACCTTGATGTGCCTTCTCTTTCAAAACTCTTAATCCAGGCTGGTGAAGTGGCTCAAGTGGTAGAGCGCCTGCCCAGGAAGCCTACCAAAACTCTAATCCAGACTTTCTGAGGTCTGAAACTAACAGAGATCTGCATTGTTTACAACTCACTACATTTACCTACTCAAAGAATCTTGATCATAAGTCTGAGAATAGTTTAGATATCATTTAAATAAGAGATTCATTTCAAGATATCATAAAACCTATGTAATGTTTTGAAATCTTTAAAAATAGCTATAAATTATTTAATCACTCCGCTGCATTTTTTTCTTTATAAAATTTATGGTAAGGAATAATTTCAAATTCACCTGA